AAGATATTATTTGAGGATGGTTTATTTGATTATATAAAATCAACAAACACAAGAGTGAATACATACAGCAAGCTGTAGTACATGAAAATAAAATACATGTCATCAACATTTACAACAAGTTCTACATAAGCATCTCTTCTCTTTAAGACAAAAACTAACAAAATACAAAAATAAACATGTTTTTGAGTGAATATGATGCATATGATTCACTAACAGTTCATATTTTAATATATCCCTTGTATAAACATAGAATAGAATAAAAATATGCTTTATTGTCACTGAAAATTATACAATTTTATGGACAAAGCTTACAATCAGTCAGAAAATCAATAATAACAATTAAAATTTACTGAAATTACATAAATTGCCAATATTACAAAATAAAAGATAATGAAATAAACAATCCATTGTAAAATTTAAATAAATTGCAAATTGCATAATAAAACCTTACGAACTTAAGTTCAAGTTGATGCATATGATACCCAAATATAAATAAAAATACTTTAGTTACTTGTACATAAAGATACTGTAATGTCTTAATTATTTGTTAAGAAACTCTTCTACTGAATAATATATTCAGTAGAATTAGTCATTAGTCTTTCAGATAGATAGGCCTGTCATAGATTTATCATTTTATGGAACTTGGGGAAAGACATTGCAGATTTAAATTGTAAGGGGATGGTTGTACATTTTCTTTGTTGAAATAATACTTAGATCTTCTTTATAGAAGAATAGAATTCTGTATAGATTTCTTTACTAACTCAGTGACAGGATATGTAAATAAAGGTTGAATTTCTGGTGAAGTAGACATGATTAGGACTTGCTGAAAAAGCATGTAGGTGTTTACGAATTAAGTAAACAGTTTCTAAAATATATAAAGAGGGAAGGGTTAAAATCCAGTCATTTTTGAAGTAGCTTCTGCAATGTGTTGTTCTTCTGTAGCAAAACAGATACTATATTGCTCTTTTTTGTAATTTAAAAATAACAGATTGCACAGCTGTACTAGAACCCCAGAAAGGAAGATTAAAGATGAGGCTTGAACAAAGAAAAATATGTTATTTTGGAATTGATTTCCTTTGAAACAGATCTTATTGCATAGCAGGCTGAGACTAGTTTCTTAACAAATCGAAATGAAGGGACCATTTAAGGTAGCTGTCTATAAAAATACCAAGAAATTTTACAGAATCGACGATACTGTGTAACGAGTAGCTCTTTCGGGACGACAGACTCAGTAAAACACAGGTTGAAATAAAAATATATCTATTAATTTAACGTATGTACAATAAAATAAAAATAAAATAAATTCTCCGCCGTATAAAATAAAAACAAACGAATTCTACGTCCCTGGCGATGAAGGAATTCCCCGGCAAATGTCTATAAAAGAAAGAAAAAGTTATTATTAATAACAACAAATAAAATATGTGAATTCGATCGCACGCTGACTTATACTCGCTTCCGTTTCAATACAGCGGAAGCTCCAATCACACTCGCAAACAAAAATATTCGGCTGTGCAGACCCACGGCAATGTTGAGTACACAATGCCGATTAGTTCTGCTTAGTTAAGGACAGAGTATGATCCTCAATGTGGAAATCTCTCTGTCCGGGTTGTCTCGCAGGTTCAATACACTTGCGAGTCGGGGAGCCTAGAGTTCTAGCTGCAAGACTGACCAATTCCGCTACTCACATGCCTTAAATATCCGCTCCGAATCCCACTCACTTCGCCATCTCGCTGAGGAAGTGGATGCGCAAACATGACACTCCCACGGTTCAAGCTGATGAGAACATCGTTACAACTGATTAGGCTTTTATTAAGAAGCAAGGGTTGAAGAACTCTTTTCTATAATAATGCTACTGTCTTATCCACATTAAAAGAGAGTAAATTAGAGTCGGACCAGGTTTTTATTTTAAGTAGATCAGAAGTTATAGTTTACATGAAAAGTTGTAATATTAGTTTTTCTCCAGGTGATACTGGTATCAGCACCAAAAAGAAAAAATTTTCCATCAATTTTTAAATTAAAATTAGTGATGTCATTATAAAGATATAATGACATTATTAAGATGATAAATGGATAAATGGAAAACTAACACAGTGTATACCAGTACAAAGCGGAGTCAGACAGGGTGATTTGTTGGGCCCACTATTCTTTAATATAATAATGGACGAAATAATACAAGCAGTACATAAATGTCATGGCTACAGAATGGAGAACAAAGAAATCCAAATATTATGTTATGCAGAAGACACCGCATTAATCCCCGAGACAGAAGATGAGCTCCAAAGATTAACACATATCTTCAATACAACAGCTAAAAAATACAATATGATAATATCAGCAGACAAAACCAAATGTATGACAACATCTAAATACCCACTATGGTGTAAAATCGAAATTGATGGGAAAATAATAAAGCAGAAGCAAGGTTTAGATATCTGGGAATAGATATAACTAGTTACAGATATGTTGAAAAAGAAGTATGACAACAAAGCTTAAAAGCAAGTAAAGAGGCGGGTTCTCTTAATGACACAATCTGGAAGAACAAACACCTAAGACAAGACACAAAAACAAGAATCTATAAAGCAGCAATTAGACCTATATGAACATACACGGCAGAGACAAGACGAGACAACTGCTAGAAATAACAGAGATGAAAATACTCCAATGAATATCAGGGAGAAGTCTGTTGGATAGGAAGAGAAGCAAAAACATAAGAAGAGCATGCAATATAGAAGACATAAATGGATGGGTGACAAAACGGAAACAGGAGTGGAACGAACATATCAGTAGAATGGCAGAGGATAGAATAGTACGAATAGCACAAGATAAGTCACCAAATGGACGAAAAAAGTATTGGCAGACCAAGAAAAAGATGGTGCAACAATTTAAACAATTTAGGAGGCTAATATTGAAGAAGAAACAGGCTTTAAAGCCTACATACCAGAAGGAAGAAGAAGATTATAAAGATAAGGAAAGACCCAATACTGAACCTTGTGGTACTCCACATACAATGCTTTTGTGACCAGATTCAGTATACTTTGCTCTAACTAGTTGGTGTCCTATTCACCAACTAAGATTGGAACCAATTCAAAGAAATACCTCTAATTCCTTAGAATTTTTTTTATTAAAAGGTTGTGATTTATACAATCGAAAGCTTTGGCATAGTCACAAAAAACAGTGGCAGTGTAAAAATTATTGTTTAGTGCTTGGTAAATCTCATCTATTACAGAAAACAGCATCACTGGTACATGTATTAGATAAACACCTGATAAGTGTCTCAATAATTTTAGATAGTTCCAGTAGTAAGGCAGTAAGTAAGTCTATAGTTGCAGGCATTCGATTTTTCACCACCCTTATGAAGAGGAATAATAATGTCTGTCTTTAAGCATAATGGAAATTAATATATCTTTTTCAAAGGAATCATCAATTAGTGAGACCAGGAGTTCCAACACATTTTTTTGGGAGATCTGAGAAAATTTTTATGGATTGTCCTTCAGTACTACAGGAAGATTTGCTTTTGGTACTATTGTTTGTTTGGATCAGTTCAGATTTATCAACTTGTCTTATAAAGAACGAATTCGAGACCTGTTTTGAATTTTAGAAATAAGAAATGGGATCTTGATGTGGCAAAATAGTTGATGTTATATTTTTACTCACATTAACGAAGTATTCATTTAGATTTCCCTTTCCAGTTTGAGCTATGGGAGCCTGGGAATCTATCTAAGTTTTAGGTAGGTTCCTCTGTACTTGGTGATATATTTAGTAACCGAGATGTAGGTTTTAAATTTCGTGATATACAGTAGTGAACGCATATTCTTGTCTTGTCTTGTCTTATTAAAAATACTGACAAGCTTATCAAAAAAAAAAAAAATTACTGAAGGTATATTCTACATCCACAGAAGCAAAAAGCCACCCAGAAGGCAAGGCATAGAGTACAATACAAGTATTCAGCAATAATTTTTTAAAAAGTGTTTAATAGAATTTTACCAAGATTATTAGTGGTCATGATAGTGAGTTTTAGGGAATGTATAACATCTAAAATCATCTGCCATCATCTGATAATGCTTATTAATTGCTCATGTATAAAGTATGTAGGCATTTGTATTTAGTTATCAAACAATTTTTAATGTTCAAATACCTTTTACACTTTTCTTTGTTTTCATTAATATATACTTTACATATTAAAACAATATTAAATATTATTAAAGAAGAGATAAAGTGGAAATTCTTTTACCATCATTTTCGAAGTATATATGTATTGTTTTTTTACATCCTGTAAGTATTTTAAACCAAATTAGATGGACAATATAATATTAACAAAATGAACAAAAGGGACAAAGAAACAAAGCTTTATTAATTAATTAATTTATTTATTTAATACACCCCATTAACAGTTTAAATTACAATATACAAAATCACAGTTAGGATTTAAAACTTGAAATTACTTATAATATAAATTCATTATCAAAAAGTTTTAAAAATGAGACTAAAAATCTTACATACTAAAAAAACAAAATATAGCAACAAAATTCAATGTACATATCACAAAGTAAGAGATCCTTTTAACTGAGTTAAAATTATATTGAAAATATCAAAATCGAAATCATTTAATAGCCCCAAAGTTAATCTGGCTTAACAGATTTGGATAATTAATAAATCCATGTATGATCTTATATATAAATATATAGCTCCTGACATATCACTATGGTTCTTGAGTGAGGGTAAAGATAACTCTTGTTCAATAGGGGAATAATCATGATTTTCAATAGTAGTGTGAACATGGTAAGCACAGTATCTCAAACATTTATGCTGGCCTCTTTCTAATGTATCAATATTGTTCTGAATATAGGGTGACCAAATAACACTATTCCATCTAATAACACTAGAACATCCTTATTCATGTAATAACGAGATACACAAATCACTTATTATCCTGTTTTTAGGTAGATTTTAATTCTTTTTTCAACTAATATAAGTGACTATAATATATTTTCTCCTTTTAGTGAACCCGAGATGTCAGATTATGATTCTGAATCAGAATTAGATTATTCTGAAGAAGAACCTCCAGAAATAGCAATGAACAAGGCCCTTATTAAAAAACCTATGCCCAATAAGGATTTCATGGCTTCCCACTCACAGCTTCCTTCCCAAATACCTAGTGCCTCAGATGACGAGGTTAGTGATGAATCATCTTTTCTCGAAAAGTTAGTTCAGCAAAATGCACCTGAAGAACTTCCTCCTCCCATGCCACCTGCTCCAATTGTTTCTAGTTCTAGTACAATCAATGAACCTAGTACATCAGGTAAACAAGAACCTGGTACTGAAGAAGATTATGACATAGATATTAAAGAGAAGTTGAAAGAGATGGGTGAGATTAGTTTTGAAACTGTAAAGAAGGGGGAGAAGCCTAAAAAGACTGAAGTAGCTATAGAGAATGAAGTTGTGGTCACCACTAAGAAGCTAGGTAAGTGTTTGATATTTCTGTATATAGTATTTTTCATATAAAAAAGTTTGCACATCATTCAAGATTTACGTCGTTGATCCCATTGTGTGTCACGCTGCATTTTGCATCAGTATATACTTTATAATAGAAATTATTTTTTGCGCGATGTTTCTTAGCTCTAAAATTTTCCATACAGCAGCATGAGACAAGCTGTCAAAGGCACATTCAAAATCAACAAAAACCATGTATAGGGGTGTATTCCATTCAACCGATTGTTCCATTATTACCCTCACAGTATTAATGTGGTCTATGCAGGAGGATTCTGGTCTAAAGCCTATTTGATTAGCTCGAAACTCAACCTTGTTTGCTAATCTTTTCAGTATGATGGTTGTGAAAATTTTATTTATGACAGTAAGCAAGGTTATTCCTCTCCAATTTTTGCACAGTGTGAGGTTGCCTTTTTTTGGAAGCTTGATAATGTTACCTTTTTTCCAGCCCGCTGGAATGTGGTTTGTTTCCCACACCTCTCGGATTGTGGGGGGCAAAAGGTCAGCAGTTAGATGCGGATCAGCTTTAAGTATTTCATCATCAATGTTATCGATTCCCGGTGACTTGTTGTTTCTCAGAGATTTGATAGCTGTTATTATCTCCGTTTTGGAAGGCGCCTCGCAAGAAATATACAAGTCTATATTCTGCGGGTTTTCGATAATTTCATCTGCGTTATCTCTGGGAATACCTAGCATATCCTGAAAATGCTCTTTCCATCTCTCTACTTGGTCATTTGTTGTAGTAAGTAATTCGCCTGTCTTGGATCTTACAATGTTCGAACAGTTGGACCCATTTTTTGTTAGTTGTCTAGTAATTTGGTAAAGCTCCCTAGTTCTGTTGTGTTGTGCAGCTGTTTCTGCTTGTTTTGCCAGTTCTTCGGCCCACCTTCTTTTGTCTCTTCTTGCTTTTCTTTTAACTGATTTCTTTATTGTTTGATATTCCTGTTGTCAGTGTGCTCTTCTTTCTACAGTTCTTGCTTGCAGGATATCTTTTTTTCATTGTTTTCTTTCCTCGATAAGATTCCATGTTTTATCTGATATCCATTCCTTTCTATCTTTCTCTTTTTTACACAGTTTGTCTTCAGCTATTTCTGTCAAAACATCTGCGAAATCTTCCCAGCTATTTATTTCACGTTCTCTTGTTTTGAGTTGAAGTTCCTCTCTAAACACCCAAGTTTTGTAATATATATTTAATTCCCTATTAATTGATAAAACAAAATTTGCAGGTGTTGACGGAGAAGAAATCCCTGGTTTACCCAAAGGTATTGCCTTGAGAAGGAACATTCGTGAAGTAATGGATGAAACCAAACTGGACGAATCGACATTAGCTGCTCAAAGACAGGAAGTGGAGCGTCTGAGAAGAGTTCAAGAGCAACAAAGACTTCTGAGGGAACTTCAAAGACAAGCTGCTCAGGAAAGAATGCAAAATAGAGTTATATCCATGTTGCAGGGGAATCAGTTTACAAAACCTGGTAAGTACTGTATCCACTGGTTTATAATTTCGTAAGTGATTGATTAGAATTATTTTTAAACCAAAAATACAATTATATTTGGAAGTTTTAATAATTTAGTCATCCATTTTTGCCTTCTGCATTATTCTTCTTGTACATATTTTGATTTTTCACTACAAATGCAGGCATTTGCAGCATTTTACAGTCATTGTGTGGTACTTAATTTTACCTTATATGGCTATTGTTGAGCAGATTTTTCAATATATATTTTAAACATTTTATTACAATGGATATTATAAAGCACTGTGACCAATCAATTAAATTTTTAGTAGGTGATTATTACATAATCACAAATAAACACCGATGCACACAAAATTAATCACATTTTTATTGCATGCAATCACAAAATTTTCATTGTTTTACCTATTTTTATATTGGAGTTAATTTCTCAATATAAAATTGTTTGATTGGTCAGTACAGTGTTTGTAGTGTTTATTTAACAGGTTAAAATGCATTCAGAACCTGTTGTTTTGTTAACTGTAAAAAATGTAAAATTAAAATAAGGATGTGTCATTTATGACCAATCTGACCTTTTCTAAATTTTATGACCTGGGTCTCTTACTGATCCAACCAACCGTGATCTTACGTCAACATCATCTGTTGTAGCAAAATACCAAGTTTAATTTAAACTTGGTATTTAATTTAAACAGTTTTAAAATATTTTAATTTCTCATTGAAAATCTATTTATTATTTCCCTTCCTATGTTTTCTTCTGTATTTCTTAGCCATAGTTTCTTTTTCTGGCTCAAGCTTCAGTGTGAGATAGTCTGTTTTCCTTTTTCCGCATTGGTCATTATACTAATCCACATGATCCTTAACATTCACCTATAAAGACTCACTTGAAACTGTTTCCATCCATATAAGAGAAGCAACCAAATCAAACATTTTACTGTTAAGTCTTATATAGAAGTCTAATTTCGAGTGGCACAACAGTTTCTGCATAAAAATGAATGCTGAAGATAAGAATTTTGGTTTGTGTCCTTTATCTCCAGTTCCATTCTGCTACTAGCTTTTGGCAAAAGATTCATCAGTATCTGCAGATGTTCTTCGGGTGCTACCAGATGTTTTTTGTAGCACTTCCTCTCCCACTGGTATCACAACTTTGCTGTTGCTTCCCACCAGTCACTTGGCACATGTCCTACTTGCTCTCCTTTTTGCTCCACCCTTATCTCTGTATCCATTATCGATCGGTGTTAACTAACTGTTACAGTTGCTAACTGCTTTTAGCTGACTTCTTCTACGCAACACAAAATCTATGTGACTCTCCCTCCCCCCGTTGCTATATATAGCATATTGGTCTTCACTCTTCATATAAATTGTAATTCAATTCTATATTAAATCAATTTTCTGTAGGTACATCAAATCAAACAAGAATAGGCAACACTGTATTGGTAAAACTACCAAATGGCCAAACCAAACCAATGACACGTATCCCAAAACGCCCCTTTGAGTTGCTCAGAGTACCCAAGAATGCTTCACAGCAACCAATGAGTGCTCCTCGATCAAGAAGCCTGGTAACTGCCAAGAAAATACCAAGCGGTCCAGATCTAACACCTTCAGTCAGCATTGCTCCAGTCGCGAAGAAAATGATGCCGCCGATGATGCACAGGCACAGCGACAGCGATAGCGAAAGTGACGAAAGGAAAATTATGTCTCCTCCATTAGCGCAAAAACCTAAAGGTATCTATTGATGATCATGTCTATTTAAATGAACAACTAGTTATTTGTTTTTTTTTTTATTTAGCCAAACCACCTGTTCAGACAATAGATATATCGTCAGATGATGATTGTATAGTAGTGTCTGAACCAGAGGAGGAAGAGGAAGAAACTGATCACGATGACCCGACAAACTCTGGTATGCATACGAATGATCAATTTAACCAACCTGACGAACAAGGAAGGGTGCTGGTGAATGTGGGACATCCAGAAGGTGAACCTGATGTATTTGTCGCACCACAGATAGCTAGGATTATCAAACCACATCAAATTGGAGGAGTTAGGTATGTTTTACAGAAATATTATAGTATATATCGTCGACGTTTTGGCAAATATCATTAAGTCCAAGTTAGTAGTTGTGAGAAAAACACAATTTTAACTGAATTTTGTTGTCATAATTTCGTTTGGTTAATTATAACTACTTTGGAACCTTTTAATACCTACCTGATGGTTATGTCTGGGATACTGGTATTTATAATATTAAAAATATTGTTTGTCTCTATCCAAACGGGTTTGACGGACTTATTTACGTTTGCCTGACAAAAAAAGTGAAATAATCAAAAATTAATTAATCTAAATAAGGAGACTGGATATCCAGATCAAAAACAACAAAAATATAAATCTTTTCTTAAGCACTTATTAACATAAACTCTAAAACATTGATTTAGAATAATCTAAAACACAGATATTCGCCGGAATGTCCATACCTATATTTGACTAATCCTGTGTTATTTTTTTTTAATTTGACATTTGACTTCTAACCATCTAACTTTTTCGCCTTCGATGTTAACTGTTTTATTTCTTAAAACAGCTAACGAAAGTGTTTTGAAATCAACGAAATCACTAAATTTTAGTTCCCTAACGAAATACTTATCATTTTGTTTTTTTTTCCCTTTTCAATTGAGCCAACTTGAAATGTTTAACCAATCATTCATTGTACAAACAGCCACATATTTCAGTATTTCAGCTTTTTAACATTTATATCATCGATATGCCAGCAACATCATCAATTAACTTTTGCTATGCAGACGATGAGACAAACAGCTGATTATCTTGGGAGAATATTTTAGCTCATAGAGCAGCAGTTGGATGGCAATGTTGGATCGGCCACTTGCTGGCATCTGACAGCCGCCATGTTGGATTACCCACATGTTGACAGCTGACAACCACCATTTTGACAGCCAGTAATCGCCCTGTTGACAACTGATAGATGCTATGTTGGATTGGCCATAAATTGCTATGCTGAATGCCTACAAAAGATAAAAGGCAGTCACTTTTCCCACCGTCGACAAAATTTTCTCATACCCAACCGCCTTAAAGTCTCCTAACGAGTCTAAGTGTAAAAGTCTGCGTGATTTGCTCCCAGGCATTGCGTTTAGGTCACTGCTGCTCTGTTTAGTGAGTTAAGTGTTAACTATACCGCTAAGATGTTTATTTTTTTGTACTAGCATTTAAACAAGTAACACAATAGTACATTACAACTTAAAATCGCCGTCATTTGTTTGAGTCTCACAAGTTCCTAAACCATTATAAAATTAGTTTTTGTGTTTTTAGTATAAATGGCGTTATCTATTTCAAAACTTCGATAAACTTCACAATCTCCCTCAGTTTTCCTTTAATTAGAGTATTATGGATATGGTCAGACTAATATTCACACTTTTTAACAAGGTTTTAACCACTTCTGAAGTAATTATTGCTTTCTTCGCAATTTAACTTATGATACACTTTTGATTTTTTTAAAAAAATCGCAATAGCTTGTGCTAAACGATGCTTAGGTTCAGCCTTTACAGATCTATCACAACCAATTTTTTTCTTATTGTGGCATTATTTGTCTGATTTTTGTACGTCTGGAAAAACCGGAATAATTTTTTGACAAAAAACTCATTCTACAACAGATAATACAATTTTTACTCGAAAATCTGTTGTGAATTCATGTATCTGCTGTCCATTGACATACCGTAACGCTGCTGCTAACGTAAAATATGCTTTGTTTTTTTATTACCATATTTTGTTAAAGTTGTCTCTAATTCTTAGGCTGTAATTTTCTAGGAGTTCATTTGTCTTTTTCTGTAGTTATTTGCAAATCGAATACAGTACAATGGGACTCTTATATTCGCTTAAAGCTTAAGAACCACTAACACATCTAAATATTTTGGAGTAACACTCGCTAATACCTGTATGTTTTGTTTTTCTACATAAATGTTCAATTCAATTTAGTTCAAGGGTCCATTTCACAACAAAGCCAACTTAATTATTTTTTTTGCCTTCATTTCTCATTATGTTCACTTTATGGAGTTGTCTTCTATCCGGCTCGAAGAACCAATATATATATATATATATATATATATATATATATATATATATAATATATATATATATTCTTCGAGCCGGATAGATATATATATATATATATATATATATATATATATATATATATATACAGAGTGGCCCAAAAGTCTGGAAACGGCTAATTATCTCGTAAATTACTAGACATAATTATATAAAATTTGAGATACGCCTATTTTGGGATACGGAGATTCCATATTTGGTATTTGCAATGTTGCCAGATTTTCAGTTTCTCTTATATTACTAGTAACTTTGTTTTTTCATATGCATCACCCTGTATATTCAGTCATTATTGGAATCTCCTATTAAATACGAGTTCAACCATATGTAACACTTTTGATTTTATGTAGTCTGGAAGGTCTTAAATACATAAAACAGAAGTCTGGCAACGCCTAAATTGTTTCAATACATTTTTTAATACTAACTATTTTCAAATACATTAAAACGTAACAATTGATAGTTTAGAATATTTTTTAACATAATAGTTACGTTATTAAGTGTTCAAAATGTGCTCCATTTGTGAGTTGACAGCACTCTAATCGATGGTAGAATGCGTCTACCACATTTCTCCATGATTGTCTAGAAATTATTCGAGATTCATCGATAATTCATTGCCTTGGCTATGCAAGACTTGCTGGTTAAGTTTTGTAAACTGAATTTTTCAAGTATCTCTAATAAAAATAATCTTTAGGATTGAGATCGGGTGAACGTGGAGGCCATTCAATTCTACCTTGTCTACCAATTTATCGTCCGGGAAATATCTCATCTAAATAACGCCGAACATTTACACCAACTATCTGACGTTAAATTTCTTTCGATAAAAAATGGCCCAATTAAATAAGTACCTACTATAACTGACCATACATTTAATTTTTGTGGTCTTTGAGTATGGTTTTCACGCATTCAGTGTGAATTTCACACGAGTTCAGCTATTCAATACGAGTTCAACCATATGTTCACTTGATTTTATGTAGTCTGAAAGATCTGAAATACATAAAACAGTGCAAAATATGTAGATTTTAACAAATTTAAATATTTAAATGGAGAATGCTGTGATTTTGACATTTGTTCACCATTTAAATTATGAACTAAAATTGACAGTAGTTGTGGTTCAAAAAGTTCTCTAATTTAAATTGCTTCTCTAAAATGCCGTTCTCTAAACCGTTCTCCTATTCATAACACGACGGTACAAAAAACTGTAAGGCGATATGAGGAATCTGGAGAAGTAAAGATAGATACCGATCAGGTTGACCGAAACATGTTATCAATGCCAACAAAACTTCAGATATAAGCAAAGTTTTGTTGAAGATCCACATACATCCCCATTGCACAAGTACATGATGTAGGACATTCTTCAGTCTTACGTTTATTATGTAAAAATAAATTTAAATCATACAAAATTAACTTATTGCAAGAATTAAGTGAAGATGACTTTGGTCGTAGATTAGAGTTTACTGAGGTAATGATGGATAAAATTGAAAATTATTAAAATTTCGTTAACAGAATATGTTTTTCCGATGAAGCAACTTTTACACTGTGTGGAAGTGTAAATCGACACAATTTAAGGTACTGGTGTGACGTAAATTCACACTGAAGACTGAATGCGTGAAAACCATACTCAAAGACCACAAAAATTAAATGTATGGTCAGATATAGTAGTTACTTATTCAATTGGGTCATTTTTTGTTGAAAGAAATTTAACGTCAGATAGTTGGTGTAAATGTTCGGCGATATTTAGATGAGATATTTCCTGGACGATAAATTGATAGACAAGGTAGAATTGAATGGCCTCCACGTTCACCCGATTTCAATCCTAAAGATTATTTTTATTAGGGATACTTGAAAAATTCAGTTTACAAAACTGAACCAGCAAGTCTTGCAGAGTTAAGGCAACGAATTATCGATGAATCTCGAATTGTTTCTAGACAATCATGCAGAAATGTGGTAGACGCCTTCTACCATCGATTAGGGTGCTGTCAACTCACAAATTGAGCACATTTTGAACACTTTGTTCTAAACTATCAATTGTTACGTTTTAATGTATTTGAAAATAGTATTAAAAAATTTCTTGAAACAATTTAGGCGTTGCCAGACTTCGGTTTGATGTATTTATGACCTTCCAGATTACATAAAATCATAAGTGTTACATATGGTTGAACTCGTATTGAATAGGAGATTCCAATAATGACTGAATATACAGGGTGATGTATTTGAAAAACCAAAGTTACAAATAATATAAGAAAAACGGCAAATCTGGCAACATTGTAAATATCAAATATGGAATCTCCGTATCCCAAAATAGGTGTACCTCAAATTTTGTACAATTATGATTAGCATTTTACGAGATAATTAGCTGTTTCCAGTCTTTTGGGTCACTCTGTATATATAAGAGAAAAGATAGGAATGTTTTCTGCTATTAATATGACAGTAACGTAAGACTTTGAATTTAATTACGATTTAACAATGGTCCTTAAAACTTAATCGTGAGGTTCTTATCGTAATTTCTTTTGTGATCACTGTAACTTCTCACATCGTAATGTGAACGTAGTATAATTTATAAAGCAAATATATAATACCAGTCAAATACTATTCTTGTAGAAGATAATAATAAATACAGAAAAGAACATCGTTATTTATGGCGCGATGCGCGAAATGCCGTATTTTCACCTAGAGTTCCCGTACTCTTTGAAAGCTCGGCATTCATTCATTTACCTATCGTCGAGGTCTTAATTACTTAAGATATATACATAATTAACGATTGTAATTAAAACTTGTGAGTAAAAGTATCAAACTTGGTGGATTTCTAAAAATTTTGATTCAAAACTTTTTTATTCAATTTTATAAACTTATATTACGTTTTCAACATATTGTTAAGTCTTTATTAATTCTAATTTATTGTTCTTATCTTAATTTACTAAAGGTTCAATATTTATAACACTCACGAATTTCAAAGACTTTATTACTACTAATTTATTTTACACTTAATAATTACAAATAATTTATTTACGTGCGATACAATTTACCGCGAGACCGGACTTATTGTTGACTGACTTTTCCAATAAAATCCATGTTATTTATATATAATACCGCCAGACCAGAAACATCTGGATATAAGTGATGGATTATATCTGGATATAATGAGTCACCACCCATTAGGAGGTGACTCATTCAGCTACACTAGAGAAGTCGATCGCCTTCTGGTAAAATCAGAGGGTCGTCGCCGACGGTATTCTTAGTAACTGGACTGGTTATTCGACCCTTTTGTAGAATTCGGTAGTATTTGACCTAGAACATTCGTGAATGAGTAAATATGTTTACAGTTTTTATACGCCATAATATTTATTATCGTAACAATACTTAGCAGTTGTTTGTATGATTATAATTTTTTCTTCTACAGATTTCTTTACGATAACGTGGTTGAAAGCACTAGTAGGTTCGAAAGTTCCTCAGGATTCGGTTGCATCCTGGCCCATTCGATGGGTTTAGGAAAAACCCTACAGATCGTCACGTTCTGTGATATCTTCCTGAGGCACACCTCCGCGAAGACGATTCTATGCATTATGCCAATAAATACGTTACAGAATTGGATGGCAGAATTCAATATGTGGATTCCGTTGGAGGAGAATGCTCCAAACAGGTAATTTTTCATTTACAGTATTAAAAATTTAATATAATCAAATTGTGTCATCTAATAATGTTCTAAAAATAATAATTTCAATTGTATACACAACACAAACTAAACATTAATAATAAAATATGCTTCATCAATTTCGTTTTCGATAAATTAAGATCAGCAAAAAAGATCAAACCAGAAATGAAATTTCTCCGATTTGGACAATTATTTTTGTTGTCTTTTTGCTGGAATTGCTTTAGTTTCTCAACCTCCTGTCAGATTTATCTCGTTAATGTTGTTTCATTTACCACTTACGTATAAATTAATGCCTAATCGAAACGCACTTATTTCAATTTGATAAATTTGTTCCGTAATATAAAATTATTAATTTCTAATTAATTTTAATAACGTTCCTTAGCCCACTGTCGGCTCACGGTGAAGTCAGACCACGGTTCTTCAACATACTGGTATTAAATGACAGTCACAAAACTCTAGTAGCTCGAGCGAAAGTTATACATCAATGGAGGACGAACGGCGGAGTTCTATTGATCGGATACGAACAATTCAGATTGTTAAGTCAGCGGAAAATGCCAAAATCTAGGAGGAAGATTAATCCAGAGATAGATGATGACCGGAACAGTAAATTGTTTGATGGTAAGTCAAAATGTCAATGGCAATAAAATTTTTGTCAATTTTTACTGTAGATAGATTGATTGCATCTAGATTTTTAGTAAGTTGTACGGTATTATCGTTATATATGAGAATGTTATGACATTAATTTAGCACAAAACGCACTATTTTTGTTATTTTTCTCATTTATTTTTATAAAGTGTATGTATAACAGTCTTATTTCTGTCCAATACGCTTGATATTGAGGTTTATTCGACAGTGTTATCCATTACAAAAAGTCATTTTCAGCTATGATTAGTTATTCGATAGAAAACGACGTCCTTCAGGCTGTAAGAGATATCTCACACGTTATCACCATTTTGTAATAAGAGACATTACATTTTCATACACATATTCCTTCTATACTACTTGTCTTCAAGAATTAATATTAAACTCAACAGTCTTTCGAGTTAAACCTCGTCGATTATCATTGCGCCGAGCTTTCGACATCCTCGTTGGTGTCTTCTTCAGGGTTTCCGAGGTCTTAGTCTCCCGAGCCCTCAGATCCTACTATACTGATCACTAACCAATGGATTACTGCCATTGAGAACAGCGGACGGTTCATTCATACCGTCGATGATGACGTGTTATATATTCTTCTTCTTCATGTACCATGTCCTTTAAGAAATATTCGGAAATGTCCGAAATATTCCAGCTTTCTCTGCTTGATATTTTTTATGATCTCAGTAGTCTTGCTGAGACGTTCTAGTATTGTGGAGTTTCGAATCTTCTCCACCCAGGAAACTTTTAAAATTCTTCTCTATCACCACATTTCGAAAGCTTCAAGGCGATTTAGATCGATTTCAACAGGAAACACACTATAGAGCTTTTAAAGGAAAAGTTTTTCAACACCTATAATCTGTTTTTTAACCAGGAGGAGTAAACCAAAAAGACAGATTCACACCCAAGAAAGTTACTAGAAAAGTCACCAAATACATCTTCTTTTTTGTTGATTATCTCGGCCTTGCGGTAATCGAGTAATCAATATCGGACAACCTTACACGTAAATTTTAACCCAACTTTGTTTATTTATGTTTGAATAATAATTGTTTTCAATTCACCCCCAATATATATTACAATTATTACAATAAAAGAAGGACGTTTTTCACATTTAGTCCCATGTATATATATTTAAATATCGCATGATCCAGTTTTATATATCTCTTGAGTCTATGATGTTTAATTATAATTTAGAGAATATTTTGATCCGGAGAGTCAATAATATTACAGATCTAAGTATGGTTTTTCACAGAAGTTTGTCTTTTAATTTGCAAATAGATCTTATATGCAACAAAGCTATGCAAATGCATGTATCAAAAAGTTAGAGAGAGTTCAGAGATTTCTCAAATACTGTACTTTTAAACTGCATAGACCATATTCTTATTCTGGTGTTACCAATTTCTTGAATCTAGTTTTTTTTGTTAACTTTGACTTTGATAATTATTTTTAAGCTTAATAATCCAATCTCCTGAATTGCTTCAGCCAATGCTTCATGTTTATAATACATTGTTTCTCATTTGATGATAAATGACCCAAATCTACTTGACGTTTTTACGGTGGAGAAGAATAATTACCATTAGTACTTGGCATTGAATCCATATGGTTATCCTAATAACACTAATATGTCGCTAAATAGTTCTGAAAAGAACTGTTTTTTATATAAATGCAAACGAAAAATCTAAAAATGTAACGAATAACGCAAAAAATACAAAAAATCGTCGATATAAATTTTGACTTTTAAAATTTCACAAATGTCATTACTGTCAGTAGGTCATAATTTAGTGGAGTAAACTTGCCTGCGGTTGGACCAATTACAAATAAGCATTACGGCGCGGAAAATTTGAATTATTCCTCCTGGTTAAAAAACAGACCATAGTTAACATTGAGCCCTATAGTGGCGAAGTGCCTGTCCTATCATTCTCCGTGATTAGCATATTTAATTTGTAATGTTAATATATTTTACATTATACTTCATTGATGTTCAAGCTCAGACTAATTTACTCGACATGCGGTCAGGGATGAAAAGAATCTTACCTCTCCTCTCACCTTACTGCAGCACGTTTTTCTAACATTTTTTTAAACTAAGTAATAAAGTAAGTAATAAATTGTCGCTTGAAAGTTTGATAGACGTCATACGTTGGATGACAGCTGTCAAAACCTAGAGCAATTTGTTCTCATTCAACGCCCTCTCTCGAAGGATACATTAATGTCCAATCAACTTCGTACATAAGCATTTTTTAAAGAATATTTTTTTATGACAAAAATCCTTCATTTGTATAAAACTTCTTAGGATACCCTGTATATATGACGACAAATAACTCGAAATAACTGACGAAACTTTGAAATACCTACAATTAGAATTTCTTTTCTTGTTTCAGACGTACACACAGCTTTAGTAAAACCCGGTCCAGATCTAGTCATCTGTGATGAAGGCCATCGCATCAAAAACTCTCACGCTTCGATATCACAAGCCCTGAAACAAATGGAAACTAAACGTCGTGTTGTTTTAACCGGCTACCCACTACAAAATAACTTGATGGAGTATTGGTGCATGGTAGATTTCGTTAGACCGAACTATCTCGGTTCTAAAACCGAGTTTTGCAATATGTTTGAACGGCCTATAATGAACGGTCAGTGTATAGACTCAACGGAAGCTGATATTAAACTTATGCGATACCGTGCTCACGTACTTCATTCGTTACTGCTAGGTTTCGTTCAACGACGATCCCATCTTGTGCTACAGACTGCTCTACCGCAAAAAGAAGAGTATGTTCTCTTAGTTAGGATGACACCATTCCAAAGAACCTTATACGAAACGTTCATGAACGAAGTTGTGAGAATACAAGCTGTGCCAAATCCTCTTAAAGCGTTTGCAGTATGTTGTAAGATCTGGAATCATCCAGATGTGCTTTATAACTTCCTTAAGAAGCGCGCTGGGGGAGAAGCTGTGGATATTGATTTGGAAGAAGTGGGCGGCGCCCCGATCACGAAAGCAACACCAAACGAGAAGCCTCCGCCGAAATCTAAAAGGAAAGCTCCAGCGAAAGGCAAAAACGGAAAACCAGCTGCTTCTGTAACGCCTTACAACAGCACCTCTGAAGGAGCTGTTCCTCCAGTTAGTACTGTGGCCAGTAGTTTTCCTACTACAACACCAATTACATCATTTAGTAATGCTTTGGCTCAACAGCAAGGAAAACCAAAAATCCAACAGTCTACGTCGAGCCAAGATTCTACCACAATCCAAGATATTTCCAACAATTTTCCCGATACAATCTTGCAGCCTTACTATGATCAGGAGTTTGATCAAAACGCACAGTTTCCTTCGTCATTTCCCAATAGCAATAACTATTCGTATCCCAGTGCCTCAAACTCAAACAGTGAATACAATAGTGGTTTTAATTTATCAGAGCAAACTCAGAAAACGAGTTTCCTGAATTTAGACACGCACAATTCCACACCCGCGGCTCTTACCGGTCTCTCATCAGAAATCTCGTTAACTCCGCTGACTTCTAAGACTAAGGACCTTACTCTCAACAGTGGAAGTAGCACCTTGACGACGTTGACTAATGTAACTAATTCTATAAACACCACCAGTGCGCTGACGCCTTTAAAGAACGCCTGTAATATGTTGAACTCAGTGGGTAGCATTGCTGATAGTGGAAATAACAGTTTACAGACTGGATCTGAGGATATTATGGAAATCGGTGGCAGGGAAACCAAGACTCATTCGGCTTACAATCAAGATCAGCAGCATGGAGAATACACTCCCAATTTAGAGGTAATTTTTCAAGTTATAAATAGATGTAACGAGTAAAAGTCATGGCAATCAAACAGTAAATCAGGATTTTCTTCACGGAAAACAATCCTGCAATCTGGAGTTAAAAGTTTCACGTCATATTTTACAACAAACATATAATTTTCTATACGTTTAAGTTGAGCGTATAACGTGTTTATAAAATCCGTTGAATTTTGTCTAAATTTCGTTTATCTTACTAAATTTTGTATAACACTCAGTGTATAGTTTATTTTTTATAATTATTTCTAAAGAAATTATTTTATGCCGCTAATTTTCCCAACAAAACAGCCGTTATATTTTGAATTTTTCACTACTCGCTGTTAGTGTTGGAAAATTCTCGATAATGAACAATAGGAGAATATTCTCGATATGAAGAATTTTCTGAGAATGACCTAGATTAACTATGATGAGGTCTGAGATTCAGAATCTATTTCTATCATTAGCTTATTCTGATCATCTACATTCTGCATTTCAATGTACCGATGATGTGGGATTTTGTTTTTCACAAGTCGCCAGTTCAGTCATGGATTGATCTACGTCTAACAATTTTAAATTGTGAGCAATAAAAGTTACCTTACCAACCCGTTCAGCAGTAAGCCGGCTTCTTTTAGAGGAGTGGATAAAACCATAAGTACTGAAACTTCTTTCAGTCGCTGTACTGGATGAAGGCATGCTTAATATATCCACTGCTATTTTAGTTAATTTTGTTTTGTAACATTTACCTTTCCACCATATGTCTAGTTTTTAAATTGATTTTACAACATGGTTTTCCAAAAAATCCCTCCTATGACCCGATAAAGTACCAAATCTGCCATTATTTCAGCCGAGTTATCACCATGTTTTAAAGTGGCTAAATTATCTATAAACTTAGTTCCCTCAACTTGTTCTTCTCTATTTCTTCTAAAACTTCACATATTTTTTGGTATATATTGTGCTTTAGACAAAGTTTTATAAAAAACAGGAGATGAAGTGGTGATAATAAAGTTTAGTATTGGCTCATTCCTTCGGTTATTCAAACCATTTAGCTGCAATCCAAGAACGGTAGATTCAGCAGTCTTCACTTTAATATTTGTATCGACACTTTCATGCTTTGCATCTAGCTACTTATTTGCAAGTAAATACCGTATTGACATTTAACGTATCTGAACTTCACATTTTGGAGAACAACCATCAATTCATTAGTATCTTTTATAGATCTTCTTAAATAAATAATATTTAAGACAATCAATTCTTCCTCTTCTAACTTATTTACCATAAACAAGCTTTACCATAAATATTGAAATATTTTACTTGAGAAATGTACCTGTATATTTTTGTAAGTGCTTTAACTTTTACTTATTGTTATAGATTAACTCCAACTTCCAAAACGATTACAACTACCAGCAAAACTTCTCAGTTGGGAGCTGGAACCAACCTACACCTCACGAGAATGTCCAAAACTACGACCCGCAGCACAGCGACTATTTCGGTCCACCAAACAATCAGTTCAATCCACACATGACCTCCTCTCCCAATTCTTGGATCAAGAAAGAAGAACCAATATCGCTCACACCTATTTCCAAGAGTGAGAATAGCGTTGACATTAAACCGAAGATCAATATCATAAGTGATATTAAGTTGCCATCCGTATTTAGTACCACTCCCGTTGAGAAGAAAATCAACATCATCAGCGATATTAAAATCGAGCCAAAAACCGAAGGTTTCGACAAATTCGACATAAAACCCAGCTCGATGCATTCCTTTCCGTTACTTCCTGCTGTTAAGTCCGAATTCAACAATGAGATTAAAACTGAGGTGAAAACTGAGTTTAAGACTGAACCCAAAACGGAAATTAAGAGCGAGGAGGAAGTTAAAGAGGAAAAATTGCCACCGATACAGGAAAATCCATTTGCCAAATTAAACCCATTGGCGTTGAGGGACTCCAAGGAAGATAGTGGTATTCCCTATGATTGGGTAAGTGTAAAATCATATAAATACTGCAATATGTTTTTAATTTATTTAGTTTTTATTTTACAGTTATTATTAACATTATGATAATTTATTTACACTAACACTAAAACATAATTAATTTATCATGTATATATTTATTACTTGACAATACAAATTTATATTTTAGACTGACGCTTACAATTAAATTTCCCTATATACAGGGAGCGGCATATAAACGGCTAAATATCTCGAGAATTAAAGGTAACTGAATCATGAACATTGGAATGAAGGGAAGAATTAGTATTCTATAACCTACCTCTTGCGGTTTTCAAATAAATTAACTTTATACATTTTTGTCACAAAAAAATCGACTCGAACAATTCACAGACTTACAATAAATCAATGGACCCTTTATTCATATACGCCAGTTCTACTACGACACAGGGCTGCAATCAAGCATTTGCGACTCACAACAATAATACATATGATTCTAATAGTCGTTTTTGTTTGCAGGCGATCGAGCTATTAAAAGACTACACACCGGGCTGTATAGAAAATTCTGCCAAAATGGGAATATTGTTTTGTATCATACGCGAAAGCATAGCTTTAGGTGATAGACTGTTAGTTTTTAGCCAGTCTTTAATTACGCTAGATTTGATCGAGCAGTTCCTCCAGATGAGCCAAGTGCCAGGCGAGACCTTCAACTGGGCGAAAAATAGCAGCTACTACCGTAAGTTTTTCAATAATTTTTATTACTAATATTTTGACATATACATAATAATTTGACATGAAACAAAACACACACTGCTTGGGAGACTTGAATGCAACCGAAAAATAAGGATTTACGAAAATTCCCAAACGGAAATATTCTACATGATCTTTCAAAGTTTGTAGCGTCGATGTGTAATAAACATCCCGCTCACACATTAAGTTCAAGGCCAGAATCGCTCAATTCGGAGAGGAAGGGCGGGGCAAGGTCAAGTGTATAGAAATTAAATAATATCTCAAAAATCCAAACACAATCAGACAATCCGAAATTATAATTTATTATTGGACGCCACCCCATGTTTATCCTCGTAGGGTAGGAGAAAGAATAAAAAAAAATAAGATATATAAAAAATTTACAGCGAAATTTCACTTTATTATTTCTCAGTAATAAAAAGAAACATTAAAAGTTATGTTATTTCCAAAGGATGCTAAAATACCATTTCATAATTACATTACTATAAACAAAACAACTTTATATCTTTTTAAATCAAGAATTGGTTGATAAAAACAAATGAATTTATATATTATTCCCAAATTTCGAAATTCGTTTACATTTAAAATATTATAGTAGTTATTTATTAACTAGGCATAATAGAAAAGTTAAATCTTTAAACAAAATTTAAAACACTGCTATATTTTCTTTCTCTGAGTCCATAATTATTCTCGCTTTCTCGATAGAGTATAATAAAAAAAGAAAAAGTACAACCTTAATCGTCCATTAGCTGGCAACCATACACAAAGGATATGGTCTGCTTCCTCTCAACCTCCAAGCATTTCGTTAAATTAGTTATTAGGGGTCCATTTTTTAGATCATAAGGGATTATTGGGCTGCGTTTACGACAGCATAAGACTTCTCAGTTAACTTCGAGTCAAATAAACATAATTAATGATCTTTTATTGTCCCGGTAAAAGAGGTCTAAAAATAATTATTTATCTGAAAATATAGACAAAAAAAGGCCTTTTTTTTCTTTGGCTTACCTCTATATAGAGACCACTTCACAAAAACACGTCCTAACAGTTGGATGTTTGTAAGAGAAAAGAGAGTTTTGAATTGGGGCGTGATTGACAAGTTAATAATCGTTCTCATCCATCGGATAGGTTTAGAATTACAGTAGAAACCTTGAGTCGGCTACAAGTACCCGGCAGATAGATGGGGTTAGTAGTTTTATTAAAAAAAAAATAATCGAATTTAAAATGAATTTCCTAAAACTTTTGAAACGGTTACAAGTTAGGATAACAAAACCACGTTTTAATTAACTCCGTACAATAAGTCAAATATAAAATTTTATCAAAAAACTGACTATAGGGACCAAATTTAAATTTATAAAGTTATACACAGTGTGCTAAAAAAATCATCAAAATAGGGCTAAAAATAAAAAATTGAAATACTTTGAATTTGACCAAAATTTTCTCTGTTGCTTTTTTGCATCTCTGAATGTATATACATGGTATTCTAAAGTACCTATAAAAACTTTTTGAGCATTTGTATTGACTCGTGAAAAATGCTACAGTATCACTTCCAAAAGTTACTTTCTACTTATAGAAGTGTGTCACGGAAACATTTCTAAACTTTAAAATATTTCTATTGTCTATCTTTGTTTACTATCGATATATTACAGGATTGGATGGTTCAACAAGTGCTCTTGAAAGAGAAAAACTCATCAACGAATTTAATTCGAATCCCAAGATCCACTTGTTTTTAGTTTCGACCAGAGCTGGATCTCTCGGTAAGTGTTTAAATCGATAATTTGTTACTATAAAAGCAACGACTATCCGAGGAGAAACATAACATGCTATTTTTTAAGGTATCAACTTGGTTGGAGCCAACAGAGTGGTCGTTTTAGATGCTTCTTGGAATCCTTGTCACGATACGCAAGCTGTCTGTAGAGTGTATAGGTACGGTCAGAGGAAACCGTGTTTCGTCTATAGATTAGTCGTCGATAATTGTTTGGAAAAGAAGATCTACGATCGTCAAATAAACAAACAAGGTAAATAATTATTTATTATACATTATTATGGCAAATTATTAATTCTTGTATAATTTTGTTATTTTTTCCATTTATTTTTTAACATAGTCTCCACTTTGCTCATTATATTTGATAAAACACTTTTCCAGAGTTGTTATACCTTTCGGAAAGTAATTTTGCTGAAGTTACTCAAAATAATGTAAAGTTTCTGCAATTGTCCTATCTTTCTTTTGCAAAATGCCGTCGTCTATGCTATTTTTCGCACATACGACGGTTTGCACAGAAAATCACACGGTGCTAGATCTGGCGAATAGAGTGGGCAGTCGATCAATTATTATTCCAGTTTATAAGCTTTATAACCAGACTTATCGTTTTAATGAAAGGGCATTCTTTTGCTAGACAAATCAGGCAGTTTTCTTGTCAACTCGGTGTTGACAAGAAAACTGCTGTTGTCCAATGCTGTTGTACTATTTTTCAATCAATTACATTAAAACTTCGCCAGTGTTTCTCAACTACTTTGAATGTTTCTTCGTCTTCGACATGTAGAAATGAACATGTGTTTCAACAGCAGTTACGAATAAAGGAATTAGGTCGAAAGGTCTTATTTCTTATAAGAAAAAGCTAAGGTTCATTCTGGTCATTTGTTCCTATCTTCATGTTCACGACTGAATGGCTCGACGTATTGTAATGTATGGTGTGTCGTCGGAAACGAGATGTCTCACGTAATATGTTAAAAAACGTCAGGTCTCACGTCAAATGTCACATTTTATGTTACGTCTAACGTCAAATTTCACATTTTATGTTACGTCCAACGTCAAATGTCACATTTTATGTTACGTCTAATGTCAAATGTCTCATTTTATGTTACGCGTCAAATGACACTTGCTATGTCAAAACGTCACTTTTTATGCCATGCCAAACGTCAAATGACACGTATTATCTCATAACGTCACGTCTTACGTCGAACGTCACGTTTAACATCAAATGTGATGTTTAATGTAGAAAGGTTAAAATGGAGACCAACTTATAGTAAAGGACGATGTTAAAACAGTTAAAATCTTGACATTTCGAGGAGTTGGCAATTAAGATAGAGGAAACCAAGATAAAATTCACATTAGTATTAAAGATATTATACAACCAAAGAAAACATCTACCTCCATAATCGAATACAGTAAAAGATAAATGGAAAACTAACACAGTGTATACCAGTACAAAGCAGAGTCAAACAGGGTGACTCGTTCAGCCCACTTCTCTTTAATATAATAATGGACGAAATAATACAAGCAGTACGTAAAGGTCATAGCTACAGAATGGAGGACAAAGAAATCCAAATATTATGTTATGCAGACGACGCCGCATTAATCACTGAGACAGAAGACGAGCTCCAAAGATATCACATATCCAAAGATAAAACACATATCTTCAATACAACAGCTAAGAAATAGAATATGATAATATCAGCAGAAAAAACCAAATGTATGACAATATCTAAATACCCATTACGGCGTAAAATCGAAATTGATGGAAAAATAATAAAGCAGGAAGCAAGGTTTAGATATCTGGGAATAGATATAAATAGTTACGGAACTGCCGAAGAAGAAGTACGACAACAAAGCTTAAAAGCAAGTAAAGCGGCGGGTTCTCTTAATGATACAATCTGGAAGAACAAACACCTAAGACAAGACACAAAAACAAGAATCTATAAAGCAGCAATTAGACCTATATTAACATACACGGTGGAGACAAGACCTGGCACATCTAAAACGAGACGACTGCTAGAAACAAAAGAGATGAAAATACTCCGACGAATATCAGGGAGAAGTCTGATGGATAGGGAGAGAAGCGAAAACATATGAAGAGCATGCAATATAGAAGACATAAATGGATGGATGACAAAACGGAAACAGGAGTGAAACGAACACATCAGTAGAATGACAGGATAGAATAGTACGAATAGCACGAGATAAGTCACCAAATGGACGAAGAAGTATTGGCAGACCAAGAAAAAGATGGTGCAACAATTTAAACAATTTAGGAGACTAATATTGAAGAATAAACAGGCTTTAAAGCCTACATACTAGAAGGAAGAAGAAGAAGTATTAAAGATAGTAATTTCATTGGTCGTCGTGTCATTTTTTGGCTAGGGTTACAACTTGCACCTTAGTCATTTGTCACATATGTCATTATTTTAAGCGAAAATAGGATCTAAAATTATACATAATTCCTAATATATTACAATTTTTAGGTATGTCCGATAGAGTTGTGGATGAATGCAATCCAGATGCTCATCTCACCATGAAAGATGTCAGTACACTCTGTTGGGACGACAAAAACGACGAGGGAGAAGTAAAAGACTGGTCTGAAGTCAAAGATAACTATATAGGTAACAAATTTTAATATATAAAGTGCATAAAATTGTAACCACCTTCCTCTAACATACACTTATTGTTTACCTGCAGCATAATCCCCAGTTTTGTGTACAAACTTTGCGTGTAAATTGTTTTTATTAATTTCTGGTATTTTTTTTATTTTTATACAATGATATTGACGAAAATTCTTTATTATAGACGTAGTTCTGCAGAAAGTTCTTCAAAAACATGGCAAGACGTTAAACAAAGAACCATTCCAACACGAATCTCTTCTAGTCGACAGAAAAGAGAAGCAGTTGTCACAGCAGGAAAAGAGGCTGGCCAAGAAAGGCTACGAACGCGAAAAGCAAGCATCACGGCAACCCGCGTATAGTTTGATGGGCGCCGCAAGAGGTCACAGGCCGGTGGCTTCCGTCAGACCGATGCAGCAAGGGGAGAGACCTTCAAGGTAAAGCTTTTAGTTTTATTATATTTTGTGAAAGTGCTCTATTTACTATCTCGAATGGAAATGTAAATGATCGATACATGTCTAAACTTGTAGTAAATTATTGATGGATTTGACCGTTAATTGATGGAAATTCATTTTATGTAACAATAAAACACTGAAAACTTTGTTTTCAAACTTCCACAAAATTTATTTGAAATATTATCACTACAGCTGTTTCGGCTGATTGCCTTTCTCAAGTGATCTATTTTGGCTTGGGTTTACAAATTTATAGTCTCTACTGAAATAGGTTGAGGAGGGGAGAACTGTTTGTCTCAAGTTGGTCATTCAGAATTATATCTGTGTTTTTTAATTTGTTGATTTCCATAGATTCTAACAAAGATAGCTTAAGGCCTTTATTTTGAATGTGAAGAATTTTAAATTTGTCATTAAAAGAATGATTTTGATCTAGAAGGTGAAATAAAGATAACTTTGAGGGTATACAAGGCAACTATCGAACACGGTGATTAATTTAATCTTGCCCAAGTACTTTCAATCAATAGATCATCTTCAGGGGCATCTGAAATAAGCCAAGAAACGTTTTTTATAAACAGGAAAATTAATTCACTTGGATAAAAAACTCCAAGTTTATGGTTGAAAAAAATTTTTATATTTGATAAACGTTTATAGACTTACTTCGTCAATTGTGGACTATCCGACATAGTAGAATGTCATAAATTTAAAACTGGACATAACAATACAAAAAACACTACACTAAGACAAACAAACACTTTAAAATTTATATGGCGAAGCTACATATTGTGAAGAAGCCGGAGACAGAATGGGCTCCCGGTCTGACGGAAATGTAGAGATGACATGTGACAAATGACAGCTTATGAAGGGCAGTTATGTGATCTGCACCTTTCAAAATTCTATGACACTAAGTATTGACCAAAGGCCCAACTGACACCACTATAGGAAATCGACTGATGAAATATAAAATTATATAGTATATTTTTTATGTGGATTGAATAATTCCAATCTCACACTCAAACCTGTCTATAATAATTAGGATGTTGGTTTGAGAGCAATTGAAGTTGACATAAAGTATGAATGTGAGAAAAGACTAACAATATATTAGACAGTGGATGGTTGACTACAATAAAATGGTCCACCAAGCGCTATCAGTACTGTAAAAAAGAAAAATCTGAATATGCAGTTAAATTACTAAAAGTTAAAATCAAAATTGAAGACAAAATATATAAATGTGTTATAGTCCACGTAGTTCAGTTGAATCCACAGTCAATGGAAGAACTTTAAAATTAATATTGAAATATTCAGTGCATGAAGTCTAAACAGTCGAGCTGGGTCCTCTACGAGGTGAAGCTGTAATAAAGTTTTTAAATATAGGATTAAATTTAGTACAATTTAAATTAATTTGAGTATTAAGACAGTGAGAGTTTTCATTTGTTTCCCTTGTAATCTCCAAATCTTCCAATAAATCCAACTCAAGATAGTTTTTCTTTCTGCTAATGTCATGTAAGATAGATGAACCAGAATTGATGTTAAAATTGTGGTTGCTGGCTACTAAGTGTTGACCAAAACTTGAAGAATTTGGTCTTTTCAAATGTTCAGAGACTCTAGTGGATAACTTTCTGATGGTTCTACCTACATAAGATGCATCACAATCATCACATTTTAATTTGTAAATACCACTTTTATCAAGTGTATTCATCCTATCTTTGGTATTGATTAAGAAGGAACCTAAAGTGTTATGTGATTTAAAGGAAATTTTGATGTTATCAATTGTAGAAGAAAAAAGTTTAGATATTTTATTGGAAATGCTACTAATATAAGTGAAGGAGAAATATCTGATGTTATCTGAACCATTCGGTTGGGAAAACTGTGAAGAATATGCAAGCTTTTCTGCAATTTTTAGTTTAGCTCTATTTAGAAGTTATAAGATATTAAGAAATAAAGATAAAATAGAATATAATAACAAAACAATAGAATTCTTAAATAATCAAAATATTGAAACTTTACACAAAGATCCGACAGAAAAATATCAAAAACAAATAAAGCTAGCGTTAGAAAATTCAAAATCAATACTAAATCCAATAGAACAGAAATACCTCAGTATCATGAACCCACAGCCTCCTAAATTATATTCTTTCATTAAACTACACAAACCGGATCACCCAATAAGACCTGTAGTTTCTTTTTATACAGCTCCGTCATATAAAATTTCAAAAAAACTGTTAAGAGATTATTTTAGACCACACTAAATTTTCACCTAAATTTACCATAAAAAATACAATAGAACTAGTTAATAAAATACAACATTTTCAATTACCTAACAACTCCAGATTAATTTCATTTGACGTAAAAAATCTATTTCCTAGTATCCCTCCTACAGAAACTTTTATTCTAGTAAAAAACCTTTTAGACCAAAATAGTACAAATCCAATAATTACATCTGAAATTTTACATCTTCTTGAAGTTTGCATAAACCAGGACTACTTTGAATTTAATAATAAAATTTATACAAATAACAGTGCAGGACGTATAATGGGTAATCCTCTAAGCCCATTGCTATCAGATATTTTTATGGATCATCTAGAGACAAAGATTTCAAAACATCCCGTATTCAAACAGTTTTTATATTGGTGGAGATATGTGGACGACGTACTGGTATGTTTCACAGGAACTAACAGGCAACTGGATCAATTTTTATCATATATTAATTCACTTCATAGTCATATTGAATTTACAATAGAAACAGAACAAAATCAATCCATAAATTTTTTAGATTTAAAAATTAGCAGACTTCAGAACAAACATGACTTCTCCATATTTCATAAACCTACCCATACTGACACGACTATACATAATTCGTCATCCCATCCAACACAACATAAACTGGCAGCTTATCATAGTATGTTACATATATTAACAGAAATTCCTATGTCAAAATACAACGTTGAGACAGAATTAAATATAATTAAGCAGATAGCAGTAAACAACGGATACAACGAACAAACAATTAATAAAATGTTAAATCAAAAACTACACAAGAAAGCCCTGAAATTAGTATTTCCACCACCAGAGAAAAAACTCAGAACCTTCTGCTCGATTACATATACAGGCAAAATAACAACAAAAATTGCCAAACACATAAAAAAAGGAAAGGAATAACACCAGCTTTCCGAACAAATAACAACCTAGGCATATATATTAAAAATAACAAGAGCCAAAATAAAAAACACTTAAATAGTGGTGTGTACAAACTTGAATGTGGCGACTGCCCAAAAACTTACATCGGTCAAACTGGTAGAAACTTTGATAAACGAATAGCAGAACATAAAAGGGCTTTCAAGAATAGAAAAACAGATTCGACATACGCACTTCACCTTCTAGATCAAAATCATTCTTTTAATGACAAATTTAAAATTCTTCACATTCAAAATAAAGGCCTTAAGCTATCTTTGTTAGAATCTATGGAAATCAACAAATTAAAAAACACAGATATAATTCTGAATGACCAACTTGAGACAAACAGTTCTCCCCTCCTCGACCTATTTCAGTAGAGACTATAAATTTGTAAACCCAAGCCAAAATAGATCACTTGAGAAAGGCAATCAGCCGAAACAGCTGTAGTGATAATATTTCAAATAAATTTTGTGGAAGTTTGAAAACAAAGTTTTCAGTGTTTTATTGTTACATGTAGTAAATTATTTTAAAAAAATGTTTTAGGTGGATTCCAGCTGAGCATTGGCAGCGGCAAGGAATGACTGCTCAAGAAATGACACTACCTTTAGACGTAGTAATACCCACAAATCAACCCGAAAAGGGTAACATAGTCTTAAAGGCTGGACAAAAGGTTCTCGTCCTTAAATCTCCAAAAGGGGTATATATGCAATTGGAAAGTGGAAAGATAGTTGCGATCAAGACTGCAACGAAGTTCAAAGGTATTTATATCAAAATTTTGCATACCAGACATGCTTAAAAAATAAATTATTGCACAACTTATGCTAATCTGCTTGTGTAAATTATTGTATTCTCTAAATTTATACAAGATTTTGTAATTGTTTTATTTTTGTTATCATTAGGTAAGGCCGAAGAAATCGCAGACTCATCTAAGGTGTCAAAACCGCCTCTTTTGCCACTGTCGATCAAAGGAAATCCTTCTCTTTCAGTAGTGCCACAAAAAAGACCACCGGTCAAACCTTTTGCACCAAGTACTGCCAAATTTGGTGGTGTTCAGAGTGCAAAACAGTCGGTTCCTAACCTGGTGTCAAGGATGCGTGCGACGAATAAAAAGTTACCAATAGGTAAGTTTATTAATACAGATATCACTACAAAATTCCGAGTTTTACAATCTTCGATAAGAATATAAAAGTATTTTGAAAAGTTATCAAAGTTACTGTACCGTCTTAAACCCTTATATTTTCAGGAAAAGCAAGACCTCCGCATATTGGTAATGAACTAGCGAAATCCATGGCACTTTCAAAAGACGATGGCTTCCCGATGGGTAGTGGTGACGATGAACCCAAAGAACCTCCAATGATGCACCATCACCCTCTCGAACGTAAAAGGCTGCCGATACCTCATCCGCCTCATCCTGTTCATCCACCACACCCTCAGGAAAACAGCGACGACGACATCGAGAAAAGAATATCGTTATTGAAAAGGAATATTTCTATACAGAGGGTGGGATCGAAACAGCCTCCTCAGCCAGTACAACAACCGGCACCTCCTCCTCCTGTACAGGCGCCACCACCTCCCGTTGTCGACGAAGAGGAAGAGAGGGAGGAAAGTAGTCCAGATAATTCAGCAGTGGAGCAGATGGATCATAGCAATTCGTCGATGTTAGGTGATAGTACTCCCTTCCAGGTAATCATCTTTCAATTCTATTATTAAAATATCTACTGTATTCTCTATAAATACCGACAATATTTTGCAATGTATTACGACAATTAAATAAAATTTGGCATTTATTGTGTCATCTGGCTATTACTGAATCACGTACAGGTAACATGCATGTGTCAAACATTGAGCAAAAACCTGTTAAGAGCGTAGGCTCAAAATTTCGTGCCAATGCATTCATTTTTTTCGAATCCTCAGAAAACTAATAAATATTTTTAAAAAATTTAAATGCAGAATGAAAGGTTACATTATTACCGAGGCCGAAAGTCCCTGAAAACTTCTATAATGTTTATTTTAATAAGTTAAGGGGTGAAAAAGAAGAGACAATTTAGTGTGGTTTTTAATCTCAAATATTTCATTCGAAAAAACTTTTTGATTATTTTAACGGACTTTCGGCCCTCGGTAATAATGTAATCTTTCATTCTGCGTTTAAATTTTTCAAAAATATGTATTAGTTTTTTCAGGATTCGAAAAAAATGAACACCATGTCCGTGGTAATATTTTCTAAATCAAACATTCGCTATCTTTGTCATACAACTTCTTCTCGTCTTCACGTGCCATCTCCGCTACGAAGGTTGGCTATCATCATGGCAATTTTGATCCTGGAGGCTGCCGCTCGGAACAATTGTATGGAAGTGCAAGCAAACCACTCCCTAAGGTTTCTCAACCATGACATTCTTCTCCTACCTATGCTGCGCCTACCTTCAATCTTTCCTTGCATAATTAGTTGTAACAGTTGATATTTATTCCCACGTGTAATATGTCCCAGGTATTGTAGTTTCCTCATTTTAACACTCAATACGACCTCCTTGCTGTCATACAACACATCAGTCGAACTAAAAGTGGTGACAAAGCTACTAAATATTTGACACGGCTTCAGGAATATTTTGAGTTGTTTATTAAATAATACTGATAGTGTATTTGATAAATAATTTATTTAAGAAGTGAAATTAATAGAAAGTTAATAATTGTTTATAATAATAACTAATTAACGCATTTAATTAACAAAAAATTAAAAAGTACTCGAAAAGGAAGCATTTTTCAAACAATTAACAGGAAAGAAAAAGTATTTACTTCGATGAGATACGTCTAAAAAAATTTTATTCGAAGCGATTTGAGAACGTTATTTGTTAATAACAATTTTCTGCCCACTTGGAATAATTAAAAAAAATACCTTTGAACTTAAAAAAAATATATAGAATCAAATATGTATATAGTATAGTATACAATTATGGCTATCCTAACTTTGCTTGCTGCTATTCTGAATAGTCCGGTTATCGATGTATTAAACCACTTTCTCAGGTTTTGAAACCAAGATATTCTTCTTCTCCCTGGTCCTCTCTTTCCAAATACCTTACCCAGAAGAATGAGTTGCAACAAGCCGTATCTCTGTTCATTCCTCATAACATGGCCAAGATATTCTAGTTTGCGCTATTTGATGGTGTTAATAATCTCGCATTCCTTGCCTATTCTATGTAGGACCTCAACATTAGTCATATGATCCACCCATGAAATGAACCCATTCTGGCATTATATGCAGTTTATTATTTTATATTGGGAATAAGGCACAATGTGACTTTAAAAATTCGGAAATCGTACTTAAAATACGAAACATTCATAAATTTTATTTATAGAAAACGATTACCGAAGTGGATATCAAAATGTTACATTACACTTATTGTAAAGTAAAATTGTGGCATATTCCCAATAAAAAACAGTATGCTGCCATTTAAATTCATTTCGTCCAAATTTGATTATCTTAGAACATTGTTCAATGCTAAAAAGACAACAGGTCAAATAAAACCAATAAGTTTGGCAACGTTGAATTTCCCTTTTTTTATTATATCCACGCATGCATGTTCGGCGATATAAAGGGCGGACCGAATATACCTCTCTCTTTTTAAACAGGTGTTTCTTACTCTATCTCACGTAAGGTTCATACCGACCATAAACTTTTGCCTATACTGTATATGCAAACAGTGTTATAATTCTAATAATTTATTTTAGGATACCTTAGATAGTATAACCAGTGCATATCAAGCCACGAACGATGACAACCTAGAATCCTACGAAGACGATGAAATTTCTGAACACTCGGATCAGAAGCATCACGAACAAAGTGAAATAAGCGACCACAGCGATGACGTAACATATGTATCAGATCAGTCGCCCAATTCTCAGTACCACCCCCAAACATCCACTTCCCAACAAGCAGCTCCAGCTGCAACGGATCCGCCGAAGACGGAAGGTCAAGAATATGGCAACTATAATAATTATTACAATTACCAAGCTCCTCCGTACCACGCTCCTCCCCCGCCGCAGGGTTACGCCTACCCGCAACCACCGCCCCAACCCTATGACATGATGTATCCGCCGCAACCGCAACAACATCAGTACAATTACGGCTATCAAGGATATCCGCCGCCGCCTCAGCCTCATTATCCGCCTCACCCGCCGCCCCCTCAACCAGGTTACGACTACAGCGGACAAGCGCCTCCAGCGCAACCAATGTATGCCGGATACCAGCCGTATCCGGCGCAATATCCGCCTCCGCCTCCACCTCAAGGTATGTACCCGCCTCCACCGGCCGGAGCACCCGCTCCTCCTTACAGTGACTATCAGCAGTACGCTCCGGCGCCTATAAACAATGTTGCTCCACCTCCCGCGCAGTATTATCCTAATTCTTAAGGGAAATATTTTAAATTGTTATAGACCAGTCGGTTTCGGTAGATATACAGTCGAATTTGAATGAGTTTTAAAACAATCGTTCTGTATATTACTGTTTTATATTATGATTTAAGCAAAAAGTATCTTTTTAGTTATAATATTTGATTATTGTCTTTGTATCGTATGTACTTACATAAAGTCTTTGAATTTTCACAAGATAAATTTTATTTTTACACTTGTTTTCTTTTAATTATGCTCCTATTGTTAGCCCTTTCGCTGTTCTTTTCACGTTCATCTCATTGTAGAACTATGATAGAATCGTGCCATGCGCACCGAGCAAAAAGTCCCGAATTCTGGACATGCGCACCGGGAAAAAAGTCCTAAATTCTGGACATGCGAAGCGAAGAGGTTAATGATATGTTGATATTACTGTTAATGAATTTTTGTCTATGTTTTAGTTTGATATTTTTGTCCCTCATAATTGAATTCAGTTGAGATGATGTTTTTCCGGAATATCTATATGATTTGGGCGATTCAATAGTGTCACTTTAGCAGTAATCCGAGTAAATAGTTTGGAGAAAATAGGTATCCTTTCACGTCACGTTGATTTTATCACCAGGAAATGATTAAGCATTGTGTTTTTTATTTAATCCCAAGTTTGAACTAGTCAGTAACAGCATTTTTCAACTTTTAAACTGTGTATCAATCTTGACAGAATTTTTAACTTAAAAATGGGGACTAGCTTGGCAAATTTCCTGCTTAGCACTGAAATAAATGGAGGTTTTTCAAGATGTAGTCTGTTATCTCTCATATGTCGTCTGTCAACGGTCATTTGGAGTCTGTCAACGTTTATATATCGTCTGCAAACATTCACGTGTTGTGTTCACAATCCATTATTGATCAATTACCATAACAAAAAGGATTTTCTAATTGTTTACACTTTTTTAAATGTGTATTTATATCTATATTATTATATTTATAACGTAAATCATTAATTCATCAAATAAAATTGGGGTAGTGTATCTATTAAGTTCGTTTTGCATCCGATATTTCCCGCCCCTTTCCTTATTTTAACTTTTATATCGGATATAATGGCCTATATATTTTATCACCTCAGCTGATTTACAAAATATATGAGACTTAAGTATCAAATTATGTCAGTATAATTCAACTTCAGTGTACTTTATATTATAATTCATGTAATTACTTTATATTTATATAAAATAGTAAGTGTATGTTGTTTTAAAATTCATTTTAAGCATAAACAAAATCGAGATCTATAAATCAAATGCTGTGAACTTCGTTTTAACTTTCGTCTTTGTACATAAATTGAGTAATTGTTATATATCGTAAGTTCTCACAATTTCTTAGCGTAAGAAACTAAATTATGGTTTGTATATATTAATGATTAATTTGCAAAATATATATGAGAAGTGTTCGTTAAAAGTTATGCTTCTTTTTATCGGTAGGCTTATTTTTATGTGATAAAACCCCAAATTCATACTTTTTATTAGTTTTACTACCAACCCAGCTAGAGAGTGACGTGGATGTTGCATTACTAGCTTAAAATATCAAGTTTTTTAATAACTAAATGTAGTTCAGTGTGGAATGTAATTAATTCGATTTTGACAATTGAATTTTTATGTGATTATTCATTGCCACTTGCTAATTTGGATCCCAAGCTTGAAATAGTCAGTAACAGTATTTTTTCACGTGTTTAAGTGTAAATTTATATTTTGTTCAATATTGGCAGAAATTTTAACTTTTATTTTGTCAAACTTTCAGCTTAGAAGTACAATGAATTTACACAAATCAAGAAGTCGTCTGTCAAAGGTCATATGTCGTCTGTCAAAGGACATATTTCGTCTGTCAAAGGTCATATGTCGTCTGAAAACGGTATTATGACATGATGATGATAGATAAACTTGTAACGATTTAAAACAGCTAAAGTTTGCTCTGTTTTGATCATTTAATATCACATTTAACAGAATTTTGCTTAATACAATTTATAACACGTCCTTAATTATATTAATTTGTGATTATTTAAATTTTTTAAATTCTTAACGGTCGTAAGCCAAACTCGACTGGTCTACAATTCTGATGTAGTGCAATAGTGTTTTAAAAGAAAGATCTGTATACTCTAAGATTTTAGATGTTCAGTGGTATTGCAGATACGCATACGAAATTATTTGGCGATAACTATAGGACTTTTGTGGGTGTGTACATGGGGTAGTTCTTTCAATAGTGATCAACAATAAATACTACAAGAAAAATATGAGATGCGTTTGATTCATCGTGTTTGAATGGAAATTATACAGTAGTGATTCATATAACCTAATAAGATCTGTCAAACTGTGCTTCTGGAGTATCCTCTGGATACTTCTGGATTTGTATTTGTCAATCCTTATTAACTGGTTTGATAGGTATTGTATTCGATCAAAAATATCTTTATCGAATACAGTATCTATGAATGATATGCAACAATTCCACAAATTATTTCTAACATTAAGTAAAAGTTGTATTTGAGTGTTTGGGTGATTGTATTGTATACACAGTAAGCCTAAAGTCTCCCCTTTTTAACTGTGTAGGACCACAAATTTTAAATTAATAACCTTTTAAGTAATTTATGTCCTAACTCGAAAGGTCAAGCCAAATGTTGGTTGGTAACATTGGCTAAACCTATACGTGGTAATTTAAATTTTGTGGTTCAGGAAATAGTTGAGCGGGATAGTAGACTTCAGTCGCGACTTGTGTACTTATAAAGAGATGTAAAGATGTATTATTTGATATTCATTCCAATCAAATTGTATATCAATACACAATATTGTTTTTTACATAGCAATTGGATTTATTCAAGCAAGAACTACCCTAAAACGAAAGTACAGTTGTCAAAAATATTTAAAGTTTATTTTGGTTTTAGATTTTTAGTAAATTTTATGGATGTATAAGAGTTAACTAACAAACTATTGGAGCAACTATCCATATCCATATCCAGTGATAGCAGATGTTTGATCAAACTTCTATTCGTACATATTTTCAACCCAGATAGAAAAATCCATAAACCACAGAATTAGTTTTACATTTTTGTCTAGGACATAAACATCCCGAAATTGCACGATTTTCCGTAGACAATGAATATTTTATGTTGGGTCAGTGGCATTTCAAAAAGAAATTGATCGTTAGGTAGACTCAGAAAATAATATTAGTTGATTGGTTATGAATATTGGGTGTAATGTACAACTCCATCACCCTAATGAGTAAAAAAACATCACATCTTGACGTACAATTTTTGTATGTTTGGGAAAACTAAAACTGTGTCATTGTTCTGACTAATAGTCACATAATTAACAATCTGACTTTCTAAAAATATTTCATTGACACGTGATAGTATGCTTGATAAACAAAATACAATGTGTTTTTGCTGTCCTGCAATGCAAAGTTGAGATTTATAACAAAAATTTCACGACGGACAAATTTTTATGACCGTTTAATCGGAAACTGGCATGTTTTATTTTGAGACGCTGCAATGATCATAAGTATTATAAACATAGTTACATCGTTACGTCTGATTGAAAGGCAATAACTGAAAAACACGAAGAAAATCTTGGCGGAGAAAATACAGGCAGCGTTTTGTTAGTCGGATTATCAAATTTGTAGATTTACAACTTTTCAGTGTCCTAATGTCCCCTATATTTTGTCCACCAATCATAATAATGTTTTAATGCTTTTTATGAAGCATTCTTGAAACAATTTTTCGTAAATGTAACATATTACAAGTGTTCGACAGGTTTATGTCCTAAAATTGTTGTCTAAAACCATTTCCCGAGCTTTTTTCACTTATAATCTTCAAATAAAATGAAAAATATAGTGCTATTCGTATTATTTGTAGTTATTGCCTATTTGACAGCAACTCAATTGATTAAGTTTCAGATTTTCCTGCCATAAAAACTTTGTCCGTCATAAAAAATTTGTCCGCTTGGACTAATCTACGAAATTACATCTACCGGTGTTTACTTCGACTTATTTAGGTAATGTAGCGTAAAAAACAAATAGTAATAAACAAACTCTACATGCCTAATAATAAACAAGTTCGGATGCGTCGTCATATACTGCAAAGTTCATATTTGCAATATGAATATCATGACGGACAATTTTTTAACCGATAAACTTGAAACTTGACTTACATCAGTATTGAACATAGTTATATATTTAGGTCTAAAGTGGTGAAGGCGAGGAATATGTTAAGGGACACAATAATTGGCCGGACAAAATTTCTTGACTAATAATTAAATCATTAACAATTTTCTAAGAATACTTCATTGACACGTGATATTAAGCTTGACGGACAAAATACAAGAAGTATTCCTTACAAGATAAGATTTCTTATACTACAATTACAAGAATGTCGTGGCGGACAAATTTGTCCATTAAATCTGAAACTGGCGTGTTTTGCTTTGCGACGCTGCAATGTACATACATTTTGTGAACATAATTATAACGTTAAGTCTAATTTTAAAACAATTAATGAAATACACGAGGGAAATATTGGTGGGCAAAATATAGGCAGCGTTTTGGTAGTCGAACACACCAAATTTGTAGATTTACAACTTTAAATTGTCCGAATGCACACTATATTTTGTCCACCAATCATATTATGTTTTAATGCTTTTTATGAAGTATTCTTGGAAAATTTCTCCGTAAATGTAATATATTACGGGTGTTCGATAGATTTGTCCCTAAAATTGACTGCAACTATTTTCCAGGAGGTTTCCACTTATTATCTTCCAATGAGACAAGAAATATAGTGCTCTTCGTATTATTGGTAGTCATTGCCTATTTGACAGCATCCGAATTGATTAAGTTTCAGATTTTCTTGTCATAAAAACTTTTTCCGTTGAACTAATTTACGAAATTAAATCTACCTGTGTCCTTCGGTTCCTTAGATTAATGGGTTGTATAGTAGTATTTACTAAACTCCAATAAACAAATCACACTGTTGAAAAAATTATAACCGCGGTAGAAAAATTAATTCTGAATACACTAACTTTGAGAATATATGTGACAACTGTGACTTTCAAATAATTAGTAATATACTAGCTAAATTGACCAGTTTCAGATATCTGTTGTATGACATTTACATTTGAATGACACACAAGTTGTAAAATAGTGATAGTTACATCAAGTAATTAGTTACAATACCTTACAATTAAGGTACCCTCGAAGAATAACCTACTTATTTTATGCTCTTATTTTTATAAATTCTAATATCACAAGCTACTGTGTACTGAAATAGGTCATTTTATTAAAACGCCCCGTGTTTTATCTCCCTTAGATTATACTTCAGATGGCTTTTGTAGTTCCAATTATATACTTAAGGATAGTATCATTACTTATAATGAATGTAATTATTATATGTTATCTTGTAACAAGATATTGATTTCAGATGGAGAACTGACCTACACTTTCAGCTACTAATAATTTAAAAGCAGGTGTGCCGATAGTACCATGCATTTCTAAAAATTTATGGTTTTCAATTGTAATTATCGAAATGTTGAAACAATGTTTGAAATATGGCAACAAGATCGACTACGGCGCCTCATGTACTGTCATTATGAACTAATTCACAAAACAGTCATTTTCCTGCATACTGAACAAAGTTAGGAGCAAATTTTCTCTAAAACTTTGTATTCCTATTTTTTGCAACCAAATAACATGTGCAAATTTTCATATTCAGCCAATTAGGGGCTTCTTAAATATTAAACGAAATCATGGATTAAAATTTGTTGTATTTGTTTTTCTCATTGTATATGTCAAAATAATATTAAAGATTGTGTTTCCCATGTAAAATTTTCTGGGGAATTTTAATGTGAGCCCAAAAAGTGTTATAATGTCGAAGAAACTCAGAAAAAACGTAGATGATAGGAAAACTTTCAGAAAATTTAATTTTTTATACTAAGAGCAACATTTTTTAACTCTACACGCAGTACATTTTGGACACAAATTTTAAAAGTTTATAAATTTAGAATTAATGGACCTTTTTCCCAGCTTTCATTTAGAAAATTTCAAGATTCTGCTATGAACATTATACTAAAAAGAATATTTATAAATTTTCATGTTTCATGAAAACTTAGGAGCGATAGGGCTGAAAATTTGCAAGTTTTATTTTTAAGATATATTAAAATAATTAGTATGCAATTTTTTTAGAGGAATCTCAAAAGGTTGAGTTCTTAACTTTGATCACTTAGCTCGTAGTTCTATGGAAAAGTATGCAATCAACGCTACAGTTAAATTAATTTCTAATTAACTTTAAGTTATGAGCTGATTAGTGACTTGAAACAATCATTAAAACTTTCTTGTTTGTTTTTGAATGTTTTATACTCATAAAAATTAATATGTAGATGTGGTGACAAAGTATTTTTTTATCAAAGCTGCTGGAACATGGTTAAAGTTGTTTCTTCCTTCAAGTGATATTTTTCTTTGTGTTTGTCTACCTACAAATCTTCACTCGACCTTTTTAAAGTATCAGTGACGTCAGTTTTCAAATCATGACTGTAAGAATTGCTGAAATATCGTGACGAAAAGTTTTTAAAGTTAACAAAATATTTGACTCAGTTACATCTTCAAGACTGCTTCATAAATATCCGTTTGATGTTTGACATGGTACTATTGGAGCACTAAAAAATTATGTTTTTCGTTTCAGCATTTATGTATTGTATACCTAAGGTTTATATCAGTAGGTACTTGCAGATTCCGCCATTTAAGGTGGGCATATATATTAAATTATGTATTTATTTTTAAATCTTATTTTCTCTTTTTGTATATATATAGTTAAAAACCGTCACAATAAATTTAATTGAATACAAATTTGTTTTCATTATTTTTTTTATGCAAGATCCATAGAATGCTTATGCTGACCAATAAAGACTATTTCACCATGGGGCACATATTTAAATTTGAAATATACACTGGAAACATGGGTCATAACACTCAAATGTGCCAATTAGATGTTTTTAAAAGAAAAATATTAATGAGGCTCAGCCTGTGAAAATAACTGGCAAATTGGACATAATAAAAAATATAAATAAATAAATAGTTTATTTACGGTTATACCAATTACAATAATTACAATCATTAAATAAATCATATATTAAAAGTTTTAGAATTCAATAATAATTACATACAATTAACACAAGACAAATAAATAGAATAAATACCTAAATGACAGTTTACAGTGACAGCATACATTGTATTTTAAAAAGATTTTTTCA